TAGCACTATTTCGGAGATCACCACATCTCCTCATCAGACTTCTTTTTTCTAGACTTCAGCAGGGATTGAACCTGCGAATTCGATGTTCAAAGTCAGAAGCGTTAACCACTGAGCTATGTACATCCCGTAAACTCTTGTTGCTAATTCATTTTCCTTATTCATTTAAACGTATACAAAAACATAGGTTATCCTTACATTTATGGCACCCATATTGTGATACATATTTAAATTACGCATTCCCCTAATTCAAGTTGAATTTGGCTTTTTAAAACGCTGGCAACCCTCGTGCCTAGAGTTCAGAAATGGGGCCCATTGAAAACTATTTATATTGATACCCATATTGTAATAGCTTATTTAACTTATTACATAAATAATTTTAAAATGACTTTTCAAACAGGCGGTAAACCGCTTTAAACACTCCAAAAATATTCTCAGTGTTCCAATTGATTTTTTTTTAATACTATTTCGTTTGACACGCATATCTTAATACATCATATAACTTTTGAATAGTTTAATTAAATTTGACTTTTCAAACAGGTGGAAACACTTTTCAAAATACTTTCAAACTACAAGCCTCTTGAAACTTTTTCGTCTGACACTCATATTGTGATACATATTTCAATAACCTTATTTCTTTAATTCAAGTTGAATTAAATTTTTTAAACAGTTGGCAACCCTCCTAAATGTCATTTAGAAATAACGTTTTTTCAAAACTATTTCGGATGATAACCATATTGTAAAAGTTCATTTGAAGTGAATTTAATATTTTATCAGCTGGCAACTCTCTTCAAACCCTTATAAGATATTTTAAATGTTCAAACAAAGTATTCCTTAAAACTTTTTTGTTTTAATATTTCACATGACTTGTGAATTATTTAATTAAATTCCACTTAGCTAATAGGTGGCAACTCTCTTCACAATAATTTCAAACTACAATCTTCTTCAACACCTTTTGTCTGGCAGTCACATTGTGATAACAAATTTCAATTACCTAATTCACTTAATTCAAATTGAATTGGATTATTTAAATTTAGTTGATATGGGAGGCTCCACGCCCCCTTCTCTAAGAACGCACATTTTCCTTCATGCGTTTGGTGCTGGTTTTAATAATCTCCATACTAAGTTTCATACGTCCAGTGATATGCTGTAGGAAAAATCGCATTTGTATGGGAGCTGCCACGCCCCCTTCTCTAATCGAAATAAGGGCTATCCTATATTTCAAGTTGGGCTAAATGATACCGGTGTGCAAAACTTAATGATGGTCGGTTCAGTGGTTAATGCGTAAAAGCGTTACAAACAAGCAAACTCCCTTTCGCATTTATAATATTAAGTAAGAATTTATATATCGAGGTTAGGTTTGTATGAGAGGTATGCAATAAAATATACCGATTAAGCTAATGTTTTTTGTGTTCCCTTACAACATTATTATAAATATATGGACAAAATTCATTAGTTCGCTTTTTATAGTATTTTTGAGGTTAGGTTCGTATGGGAGGTATAAATAAACAATCACGCTAATTTTTCGTATTTTTCAGTATGTATGCCCATAAAAAATTTAATCCCTACGCCAACTCCTAATAATTTCCAAAAAAAAAATGTATGAGTATCTTCCACTGTGCGCCATGGTCGAGTGCCTAGAAATGCGAGATACTACCCGGCAGGACCAAGGTTCGATCCCTGCTTGGACCAACATCCCAAAGTAGTTTCTTTTAATAGCAGTCGGCCCACGGCAGGCAATGTCAAGCCTAGGAGGGTATTTCTGTCATTGAAAATCTTCATTTGTATGACAACATCAAGGCGCGTACATCAACAATCGGATAGGAAGCTTTGCAATGCGCTTAGCAAATACAAGAATCAAATCTGACCCTTTCGGCGTGTTGCAAAATATTTGTGCGATAAATTCAGCTTAAATTTCAAAACAAAAGAATTTTAGAATTATTTTCCGTGGGCCAAGGTTAAAAATTCAATGCTATTGGGTATGGAGCTTTTTGGCCGGTTATATTGAATAAAACAAGTGTTTACTTCTTCTCCTACGCGTTTCGACGCATATTCGCGTCTTCTTCAGGGAGTCTATATATTTATAAATACGAAAAACATAATAATAACGAATAATTATTACAAGGAGCAAATAAGACAATACAAAATAATTTAACACTAATTACACTTACTTTAATATTAAGCAATAAAATTATCACAACATAAATTAAACATAGTTAAAACATTAAGACACGTTAAACAACACTGCACATCCTTCATCGTCAAACCTCAGACATTGTGTGTAATTGCAGTCGCATATGCACTGTTTATATTATCTACGTCTTCTTTGAAGTTCATTGCTTCAGTTATTTTTTGTTGTATGCGCAACCCTTCTAATGTCGTCCTTCTTCTCGTTCTGTTCTCCACGTCCAAAACCTTTGCATTGTCAAAATCAGCTGTATGTTTCCGTCAGGTGTTGCGCTAATGCTGTGGTACTCTTGTTGCTTTTGGCGTCTAGCTTATGTTCGTTGATTCTCGTTCCAAGCGATCTCTTCGTTATTCCAATGTAAACCTTGCTGCAGTTTTCTCCTTCTTTGCCTTGACATTTTATTTCGTAGACTACATTGTGTAGTTGTTCCTTACCAATTTTATCTTTTGTTTTGGTATAAATGGCTTTGATAGTGTGATGTGGTTTATGTGCATAGCTTACGTTGTTGTTTTTAATAATTTTGCGTAGCGTTTTGTTGTCCGTAAGTTTAGGTATATATGTATGTGACGCCTGTGTATATTTTGCAATTGTCTTCCTTTGTTTTTGTATTGCCACTTTTACATGTGATTTTGTTTGCTGCTGCTGTTAGTAAGCTTTCTATTATTTTGTTAGGATACCCGTTTTTCCATAGTATGCTTCTTATTTTTCTCTTGTTCTGATCCATGAACTCCTGGTCACTTAAGGAGTTAACTTTGTTTATAAAATTTATAGCCGTGTTTCTCTTTTGAGTCCATGGGTGGTTGGAATGGTAGTTGATCATCCTTGAGGATGCTACGGCTTTGGTGTACCAATAAGTTTTTAGCTTGTTTTTATTTTTATATATTTCTATGTCTAGGAAGGCTAATTTGTTATCTTTTTCTTTCTCCAGGGTGAATTGTATTTTTGTATGATGTCTATTAAATATTCTTAAAATCTCTTCCACGTCCTTCATCTTAACTACGGCGAATATATCATCTACATATTTGGTTATGTATTTGATATATATGTCAGTGTCTCTTAGCTCAATAATGCTGGCGTAAATAATTTTGTCTAAAACTATGTCCGCTATATTTGGCGATAGAGGATTACCCATCGACATACCATAAACTTGCTGGTAGTAAGTTCCATCGTACACAAAGTAATTTTTTTCCCTCAGTGTTGAAATGTGAGTTTATGACATTCGATACGATACTAGGGTTCTGGTACTAGATTCCAAAAAATATCGTTTTAAAACTATCGAGTAGAAAATATCGGTATCGAATGCCAAAAGCAACGATATGGTATTGTGTCGTATCGAAATTCGTGTCCCTAATGATATCATCGAAAAATGAAATTTCAGTATGATAGAATTCATTCTGTGAAATGGATAATATAACTAACACAATGAAATTTTGGGCAGAAGCTCAAACTTATACAGGTGCAGTTGGCAACAAAGTATTTTCTGATCTGCACTTAATTTACTTTCACTACCTTGATGTAATGCAGACCTGGAACTTTATTTAGTCAGCTAAACTTTGTGAAAACAAAGCTACGCAATAGTATACTGTATATTAGACTGCATCACCAAAAAAAGTTGCGGTTTTTCCGTCGGAATTACAAAATGTATTATATTTTAAGACGTCCACTAAAATATTTCGGAAAAATATTAAGATTTAAGCGAGCTGGACCGATTTAAAATTACCTCCACAAATGAAGTTTTTTATGAATAAAAATAGTTTCTTAAAGAACTTTTTGAAAAAAGTCCCCTCAGATGACAAATTAGAATAAGCTTAAAAAATCTGCATAAAAATATTTAAAAATCTTTTCAACGGAATCGTAAGAATGAGATTTTTGATGCTGTTTTTTTTACTTTTTTCAAAGATTGATTTACGAAAAACTTGAATAACTGGGCCAAAACTGTTCTGATTTAGACTTATGGGATCTCAGTAGAAAGGCATTTTCACACCGTTTTCATTTCTGGCCAAAAGAAACGTCATTCGTGTCCCATCTTTTTTTTCGAATACCAAAACATCTTAATTCAACTTTAAATGAGGTTCGTTTCTCC